AAAGAAAAAGAAAGTTCATTCCTTTTCTTCTCTGTAACGAGTTCTACTGTGAACTCATTCTCTTCGTTTTCTTCTCTCTGTAACGAGTTCTACAGAGAACTTGTTTCTGTTCAAACCACACATTTCTAATCATGCACCAGAGGATCAGGACCCAAATATCATACTCCAAGAACGAACCAATCAAAAACCAAATAGATAAAACAGAAGCAATCGCGTAATACATCAGCAATAACAGAAGCATCATGTAGTAATATCCACTTACTACGTTAATTCGTCACCCGCATCATTACCAACATACAATACATGACTATAAAAAGAAACATGGACATGGAATTTATGCGCTATCAAACGATTACCGAGAGCAAAAAGGCCAGTGAGAGCGCCGGAAATGGCGCCGCCTACCAATCGGGGTATGGCGTTGAGAGCTCTGGCGGTTCCTCGGAACTCCAGAGCGTCCATGAAAGGGAAAAAGGATGAAGGTAGGATTGAAGCACAGAAGTCACAAGGGTAAGAGCCTGGTTGGTAAGGGTCACAGGTGCAGTGAGGGATCACATGATTCCCATCCATATAGAAAACATTAGGGTTTTTTGTATTTTCATGAGAGAAGACCTAGATTCCAGGGGAGCTAGGAAAGGCAGCAGCCATGGAAAGTTGAGAGAGCTGGAATTTAGGAAGTCTTTCGGGACGAGGAGAAAAAAAGCAGGAGGGTAGAGAGAGATCCTTTTTATTCTTTTTCTGGGGGAAGGGAATGGCGCCCTTGGAGTTTTCTGTTGGAGAAGTAACAAAAGAGAGGAAAAGACGCATGGAAAAAGAAAAAAAAGCTTCCTTGTAAGATAGAGTTCGTTTCATTTATATTTCATCATTTGAATTTCTTATTTGTTGATAATTATCCTAAATATGTTAGACAAATATATATATATATATGTATATATTAGTGAAATTTTTTTAATTGTAACTTGGTACGTGTATAAGTGAAGTATTAGCAATTATAGTTTATACACAAAACTCAAAAAATATCTAATAACACTCAGAGACTTTATAATAGTATAAAAATCTAATTTACTTTTAAGATTTCGAAACAATCTTGATATTTAGTGTAATCCAAGAATTTTTAAATAATACTGAAATACAATATAATTTTGTGAGTCAACTGATGTTAAAATTTTATAAAAATTATAATATAGAACTCCAAAGCTATTTTAAAAATATAAGACTGCGTACAAATTATTCCGTGATACTATATTTTTTGAGTTAGACATATTATTTTAAGTATTGTTTTAAAACTCATGAATGATTTTGAAATTTAATATTGTTTTAAAAATCTCAATTAAATATTCAAATTCCAATATTATTTTGGAACTTTAGTACTATTTAAAAATTTAAAATTATAATAAAACATATGATTAATCCTAAGATTTCATAGGTGTTAATAGTGTAGAATTAAATTCATTAGTTGTCTCATTCTTGATGCAGCAAAAAAATAAAAAATACTATGTAGTTCAATTTTGTTTTTTTCATTATGCATAAGAAGTTGGTTCTTTGAAGCACTTATAACTTTGTTATTTTTCCTCTTAATCTTGATTTGTTTAATCTTAAACTTCTATACCTACGTTCCTGTAAATAAAGAATAACATAGTCAAACCATATGTATTGAATTATCACCAAAAGAAAAAGAAAAAGGACTCACTGTGGTTACATTTGAATAAAGATACAAAATGACAAGGCTGTCCTAGTTTCATCCTTTGTCTCTATGGCAAGACTTGTTAATTACTAATCTTTTAATCTTAAAGTTTGGGTGAGTAGCCATAAGCAATCATATTAACAAGCAAATGCTCAAGGACTTCATGTATATCTGCCACTAAAGGATGATCGTTAACCCCGGAAACAAATTCACTAATCCTACTTTCGACCTCGATTGAACTACAACCAGGAACCCTTCTCTCCTTTATCTGGTTTCTGACTATCAGCTTCTCGTCCCACATGCCTTTAGCTGCAAGGATATTAGACATGGCAATGTAATCGCCTACATGACATGGTTCGAGTTCATGTAATCTTCGTCTAACTTCACTACCGAGCTCAATGTTCGCATTGCGACTACGAGCACCAAGCAATGTCCGCCAAACTACAGCATTTGGGTTTCGTTGGCATCTTCAATATGAAGTCTTGAGCTTCTACTAGAAGACCAGCTCGACAAAAAGATCCACCATGCAGCCATAGTGAGAGTCATTAGGCTCCAGCCCATAATCCTCCCTCATGCTAGTAAAGTGGTGTTTCCCTTCTTCTACCATCCCTGCATGGCTGCAGGCCATCAAAACACCTATGTAAGTAACAGCATTAGGAACAACAAAAAACACTTCCCCTTCCACAACATTCATCACCCTCTTCTGTTTCTTCTTCTTCCTGGAGCTCTTGTTGGTTTCTTTCATTTCTTCAAAGAGTTTCAGAGCTTCTTTTGGTTGTCCATGTAATGCATGTCCCACAATCATGGATGTCCAAGTCGTTACATCCTTTATATTGGTCTTATCAAACACTTGTCTCGCAGTCTGAATGTCCCCACATTTTGCATACATGTTAATCAGCGCATTCCTCAAGCTTAAATCCACATTTAACGCTTGTTTACTGCATATATAAGCATGAATCCGTTCACCCATTTCCAGTGCACCAAGATGAGCACAGGCAGAAATCAAGACAGTCATTGTTACTTGATCAGGTTCTACATTACCCACCTGTATCTGTCGGAAAAGCTCAATGGCTTCGCTTGGTTTGTGGTTATCAACGTACGCAGAAATTAACGCAGTCCAAGAGACAATGTTTTTAAGCGGCATTTGATCGAACATGTGGTGTGCATCAGTGAGATTTCTTGTTGCCGAGTACATCTGGAGAAGAGAGGTTTGAAGTTGAATAATGGATAAGAAACCAGATTTCAGAAGGCTGCAATGTAATTGCTTTCCTTCAAATGATGCTGATTTCTGGGTGCAAGCTTTTAACACAAACAAGAAAGAGAAGCTATCAATTGAAGAGGGATTTTTTCTTAATAACTCTTTAAATAATGATATTACTTGAATGGTTTTATTGGATTTAAGGAGATATTGAAGGGCTTGGTTTGATTTGGGAGGTTGTAAGTGGAATTTGCTTATGCCGAATCTCATCTCATACCCTGTGTTATTAAATCATCTTGCAAAAGGGTTTCAATCATTTGTAATAACCATTAGTTGGGAATAGAAAATCACTACCATGACATTTTATAGGGAACTTGCAATCCCTTGGCGAGTAAGAAGAAGTGAAAGGTAAAATGGGGCTATTGGTAGTTTTTGAGGTCAGCCAAGAAGAATTAAACATTTCTATGCCCTTTTTTTTTCCTTTCAAAGATATATGTTACTGTCTCCATATTCTTACTTACAAGCATACATCTGTCTTTTTGGTACTAAAGGTTAGGAAAAGAATATTACTCAGGATAACTTAAAATTATATATTTAATATAAAGTGTAAAACAGGATGAAATTGTACACGAGCATCATGAGCCTAATATATATATTTTAATTAATCAAAGGAAAGAGAATAAAAACGAACTTCTGTATCTTCTACCCTGTTGATAGGGTACAGCATTTCAAGTTTGATCACGAAAATAATGTAGGCATTTCAAAGTTTCCAATTGTTGAAGCTTACAGAGGTACATAATAATAGTAGATTCTAAAATGTGCCGAGCAAATGTAAATAAACAGAATGGAGCAAATGAAATTTATACAAAATCGGTTATATGGGAGCTAAAGAGGATAATTTGACATCAGGGATTGTAGTTTCAAGTTGAAAAAAAAATAAAAAAAATAAAAAAATTAGGCTACAACAACATGGAATGTAAGAGCCCACTGCTCATCAACAGTGGCTAAATTCATGAAGCAATCAGCTCCATAACTACAAGCAATCATCAAGTCCATCCCCCAAGAGAAATAATCGTGGTAATAGGAATTGCATACATGAGAATGCTCTGTTCATAAAATTTCCACAGAATCATGTGAAGGAGAGTTCTTCCTTTCATCATTCCGTGTACACTACGAAAGGTGGCATTCACTCGTTGGTCATCATTTGAGATGTAGAATGAGAATAGATGTCGAGCCAGAGACCACTCAGGTTCCTCAGTGATATAACAGCAGAAAACTACTCACAGTTAGCACCATATCGGCATGTAACCTCCTCTCCTTCTATAAGCCTTTCCAAAGCATCCGAAGGAAGACCAATCATCTCTAGGGTCTTTTCCCACACTCTGTGTGAAGTCTCAATGTTGTGCGATTCTTCTGAAGGATTTGTTGGACGACAATCTTGCGAAATATATGCACAAACAGGCCAATTGTCTGCTTTCAACATCTCGCAGTATTCGGGAATCTGAGGGTCGGTGGCTGCAAAGAGAGAACTCCTAGAACCTGCATTTGTAGTAAACCATGACAAGGTCAGCTCAACCTCTTGTAAATTTCCAAAGTTTATACAATCATTGCTGCATCGGATAATCGGATATAATGGCCTTTTGTTGACATGGATTACTGGGGTTTGAATCAATAAATTCTAAATTGGACCTAGAGCGAAAATTGAAGTTTGGAGCAACAAATGGTCTAAAAAAGAGTGAATTAAACCTAGGAGCAAAGAAAATGATCATTTCTTTCTCTCTTCTTCTTTTTATAAGAATCATAATAAAAAAGTTTGTTTCTTTCACTCAAATTTGTCATAGTACTTACTTTCATCCATCCCACCCAACCCTCCAAAATCTATTATAGTAGTTATGATAAGAAATTTAATTTAGCCTAATTTCCCCCTCAATTCTCTACTCCTCTTACTCTCACTACAATGACTCACTACAGTACCCTTCCCTGCTAAATGTCATTTTTCTAACCCAGGTAAATTCTTTTATATAGGGATAATTTGATTTGGCTTTGTCGTTTTAGATGCTTATAACTTCATAGAGCTTTTATAAGCTGAAAAATAAGCAAAAAAATTTGTTTGGGTACACATTTTTTTATTTGACCTTAAGGTCCACAAACATTGTGTTTGGTAAATATGTGCGTATAGGTTGAAATTTTAATAAAATAAATAAAAAGAAGGGCACATGAACAAGAATTTGGTAATTTAAACATGCAATTTTTAAAAAATTATATTCCATTTCATATTAAATTAAATTTGTAGTAATTTTCGTCTATTGTTATAATAAGAGTAATATAATACTTAATATACGTCATAATAATTTAATTTTTTACATATTTATTATTTTTTAGTTAGATGATGACCAAAAGAGCATTCCTTTCTTCAACTAATTATTTGAAATTAATATACAAATATTTCTTCATAAATTCCATGCACAAATAGTAAAACAATATAAATACAAAATAATTTTTTTCTAAAAAAAAGACAATATTAAAGGATTATATATCGTTTAAGAGATGAAAGAATCACAGATCATGAAAAATAAATAGTTGCTTTATCATTTATCAAACCAAGTTAAATTCCACTAGCCATTGCACAAATCATTTTCTCGTAAAGAACGAAACTACTTGTCTTAGACTCCCTACATCTTCCTACTCCAGCTTATTTCCCCAATTATCCTTTCCCCCCCACTACTCTGTTAAACCATCCGAAGCCCATTTTACTTCTATCTTTCTCTAAGCCCCTTCTACTTCTATCTTTCTCTAAGTCCCTTCTACTTCTATCTTTCTCTCCATGCCTATTGCCATCGCTCAACCTCTGGCATCAAATGAGTCAATGCCAAAGATACCAAACAAAAGCAATTTGTTACAAACACACTTTAATGTGTTAATCAACACTTTTTCCAAAGGCAGATCATCCATTTGTTAGAATATTCATAATAAAATTGAACTACATTTTGTACTTGTGCATATGGGATAATAATCACCCAATTCAGTAACTTTACACAATATAAAAGCAAAGGATCCCAAATGCAAACCTTCAAAACGTCACTCCCACCTTTTGTTCATTTTTCTTTTTGAAATAAAAATAATATCTATTCACAGGCATCAAAAAATGCAAACCTGTATAAAAAGTATTTATATATCTAGTAAAATATTGATAAGGTCTGAAAATTCTCACAAGAATAAAGAGGATGACCTTTAAGAAAAAAAACTTAAAGTTTAGAACCATTTGTCCTTAAGACTATCAAAATTAGCTTCTATATCTTCAAAAATCCTCCTATTTTTTTCTTTCTAAACCAACTAGAACGTAATCAAAGGAACAAAGCTTGCTAAATTTTCACTCTACTAACTCCTTTCCATGCTCAAATCTCATCCCTCATTATTCTAGCCATCATCCAATTAATATCTAGGTGGCTATAAGCAAGAGTCCATGATTTTTAAGTGTCAAAAATGGTTGTTATTTTATTGAATATTACAACCTTATATATACAAGTATTCTATAATAGAAAAGAAAATATACTATAAATTACATTAATTATATAGGGTGTATTAAATATTAGAACTCTACATATACATCACTTTCTTTGTCTAGTTATTCTCTAATGCCTACATCTCAACATTCATGGGCATTTTTCCATTTCTTGCAGGATAATGCCTCAAATACAATGTAAGGGATAGATTCGGTATTTGAATTTGCAAGAAAAATTTTATACGATTGTGAACATTTATCAAGTGGTACAAACTGTGAGATGGAATAAAGGGACGTTTAGTGTATTCTCTAATTCCTTTATGAATTGCAATTGGTATAATATTATCAGAACAAGTAGAGTTTTCAAGTCTTAGCTCACTCTTAGAATTCGTGTTAGATTCTTAAACCTGCTTCAGCTTAGAACTCGGTTTCTTCCTCCTTGTATGCACCTAAATAAACATGAGGGTAGGGATAATTCCATGAGTGGATGGGTTCATTGGTGGTCTCTAAGGGGTTTTCTTGGATGGTACTTGAATCAGTGATAAGGGCGGAAAAGGTGGTCGGGTGATGTCTTAAGAACTTGGTGCCCCTATATTTTAGCATAGGTTCCTCCATGGAAGTAAAGTTGAAAAAAAATGAGTTTTATTCAACAAATGCAATATCTGAAGACACATAATTTTTGTGTAGGCGAATGATAACATTTGTACCCCTTTTAAGAAGAGAAGTACTCCACAAATGCACTTTAGGCTTTGGGATCAAGTTTCCCCTTTTGGGACAAACGAATGTGAACGAAGGTCATATACCAGAATACTTGCAAAGACCAGATAATTTGTAACACCCACTTTTAAATAGAATCTGGAGAGGATTTCTAGAGAACTTTTAAATCTAGAACACTAGAGGTTAAGCGGTTAATAATATTATGTGGCTACAAGGATTAATTCTCCCCAATATTGTTTTCAGACGTGGTTCTAGAATAGAATAGCTCTAGTGTCGCAAGAAGGTGATCTTTCTTATGTTCTGCCACTCTATTATGTTATGAAGTTTGGACAGTGATAATTCATGAATAATCCCTTCTTAGTGAAAAAAAGAATAAATATGTGTGACTAAAAACATCTTTTGCATTATGAATGCGAAACCGTTTCATGTGGGTT